CAATGCGCACCATCCAAGGGACGGGCACACTTGAAACTCGGACTTGGAGGGGAGTGGGAAGGCAAGGGCAACATACATAACCCCTAAACATCTGTACCCCCATAATATGCTGAAATAAAAGAAAAAAAAAAGAGTCAAAGGAAGCCGTTAAGTAGTGTTTTCATCATTTATTTATTTATTTTGGCAAAATACACATAAGATCAAATTTATCATTTTAAGCAGTTTTAAAACATACAGTTAGTTCAGTGGTATTAAGTACATTCAAATTGATGTGCAGTCATTACCAGCATTCATCTACAGAACTTTTCATCTTTTTATAAAGTTTTTCATTGTTTTTTTAAAGTAGGAATGTGATACTAGAAAAGTATTTTGAAAAAAATGACTCTGTCTTCAGTGTGGTTTGTAGGTAGCCCATAGGAGACGCAAGGAACCTAGGGAATGGTTAACACAGTAATCCAAAGGAGAGAGATAATGGTAGGTTGGACTAGAGTGATGACTATGGAGATGAAGAGAAATGAAATAAATTGATAGATAATTAAGAGGTAAAGGCAACAGGAATTGGAGACACACTGAATCTAAGAAATGAAAAAAGGTGATATTAAAAATGACTCCTAGTTTCTTGTTGCCCTGAACAGAAGTGATGATGATCATTGACATAGAAAACAATGAAAGGGTATTCTCTGCATGTGCTTATGAAGAAAGATGACTTAAGTGTATTTATTATCAAATGATAAAGGTAAGGTACATAGCACTCTGGGAGGCCAAGGTGGGAGGCTTGCTTGAGGACAGGAGTTTAAGGCCAGCCTCAGGACGAGCGAGATTCCGTCTCCACTAAAAATAGAAAGAAATTAGCCGGGCAACTAAAAATAGAAAAAGTTATCGGGGTGTGGTGGCGCACGCCTGTAGTCCCTGCTACTAGGGAGGCTGAGGCAGGAGGATCGCTTGAGCCCAGGAGTTTGTGGTTTCTATGAGATAGGCTGACACCACGGCACTCTAGTCCAGGCAACAGAGCCAGACTCTGTCTTAAAAAAAAAAAAAAAAAAGTAAGGTACAGAACTGTGTATATAGTATGATTTTGTTTATAGTTAAAAGGAAAAAGACATATATACTTATATTATTTGTAAGAAATACCTGTAAGAAGACACAAGTAACTCTGAACCACAGAATGGATATGATTTGGAGTCTTTTACCTTTCAGTGTATGTCCTTTGAAACTTGTGACATTCCTTATTGTGAGCATATATTATATTTATAATAATTTTTAAAACCTCATTCACAGAATTATGAAATAATTGTTGAAATAATTGAAGTAAAGTTAATTGAAGCATTTCTGGTTGGCTATGGAATATATAGCTTTTAAGTATTTTGTGTGAGATAAATAAGGTTCATTATCCTTCATTTGTCATAAGAAACAGCTAGCTAGATGGGATGGGCTTTAGAGACAATGCAGGTAGGGCAGCTTATTTAGGGTGTTCTTTGTGTGGTCCTTTCCAAATGGCCTTTTGAATTCCTTTCTACAAGACATTCATTCTCTCTGCTATGTTGTGTCTTCCTTACCTGCCTTCCCTCCCCACCATACCCCACCTCTCCCCAACCCTCATACATGTATTATACTACTGACCCCCAGAGTAGAATAGGAGAATTGGAACCTGAAAATTTTTTTCTCATAGCCTGGAAGTAGATGCATTTTCTCAGTCAGATGTATTAATAGCTGGGCAAATGATGCCTTATCCTGTCTTGCCTTAGAGACCATTTTGAACTAATAGTGAGCTTGGTATAAAAGGTTTTCCGTGGAGGCAGCTAGTTAGGGTGGTGAGAATGCTCACTAAGGAAGAGTAAGTTTGGGAATAGAGAAGATGAAATCCTTTTAAGGTACC